GTCATAAGACATTCGTAAGTGCATGGCGTGATCTTTAAAAATTTGGTGGTTTGAATGGCGCGAGCGTCGACGTCCAGAATATTCTGTCAGACCGTCTTATGAGACGAGCCTGATCGTTGTTAGAGGCGGGTTTCGATCGTTCGGCAAAGCAGCGCTTGTCTGCCGCGTGTTCACAGCGGGCACCCGCGTGCTGGACGCGTCCAGTTTTAAATTCTGCTAAGAAAACACCTCATTACGACGTGATTTACTGACGGACGACATGTAACGCGGTATGTACCCGTGTAAATTATGCTTCAAGGCAATTAGGTAGGTCTTTCTGACGCACTAATTTATCAGAACGCTGGCTAAATTACTCTGAGCACTAACTGGCTCCGTAGCGCAATGGCTCCGCGTCTTGGAGTGCTCGTATTGAATCCCGACTCGCTCCTCGTGAGACCACTGGTTTGTCCTCCTACGTTGCCCGCCGTCATTACATCTGCCACATATCATCAGCACGTCTCGTAGTTACGTCTGTCTTTTGTTTTATTAACTTAAACAAAGCAGCGACGTTGAATTCCATAAATCGAAACGGCGGTCGGTAAGGATAAAACGAGCATCAGCGGATCGAAACAGGGAGATCAGTTGGGCGTAGGAGGAGCCGATTTAGAACGTTAACAGAGTTAATAGACCTTAAACACGTTTGTGTCCCTCGGTTCTTTCACAAGTTGACTGCACTGCCCCTAAAAGTGGGCAGATTTGTTACAAGAAAATTGCTTCAAAATGGGTACACGCTCTATTTCGATTCTAGTGTGTCTTTAGCGCATTGTTGCTGGCACCTAGTGCAATTCGCAATACGCCTCTTCTGATTTTCTGTTATCGCCCTGCTCACTTGTGACCGAAGACTATGCAACCCACAAATCTTCTCTCTAACTTCGCTTTAAATGTCATGTTTCTTTTGTTTTGTTTCGCTCCGAATGTTTGGCGTCGTTACTAATGCAGCCTCGAGAATTGTTACATGCAGGTGGCCTGTGTGGTATTTAAGAGACACTCGAAAACCTAACACTTGATCTTTCCGGACAGAGTTGGCTGTTTGTGGCGTCTCTAAAGGTGGCGACATCTGCTCGAAAGACGAAGAAATGTTTAATAATAAAATTACTACGCGTACCTCAAAGGAAACGATCGGTTAACGCTGTTTATTCTGAGAGGCACACAGAAAACTGAACTTTAAAAATCAAGTCACAGTTCATACTTCGTATTTGGTAGGTCCAGAGCTTAAGTCTGTAATCGGACTCTCCTATCCTTGTCGTTGTTTTCCTCAGCCCCTCTGTGTGCATTTCGCAGTTTCCTGAAAACATGCCGAGATCACTTCGCTCAACGGAGCGGGCAGGCCACTGGCAATGAATTCCGGGGTCCATCGCTGTGTTCCCAAGAGCCCCCACATTGCTCTCTAGATAAGACCGCTCAGACCGTAGGATGCGTTTTCCTGGTCGCTGTGTCCATTAGACGCAACAATGCTCATGCAACGGCCTCTTTGTTAATTAGTTTTAAGTGTTTCTTGTACTCTTGTCTAACAAAATCCTCCTTTTCCTTCAAACTTTAAACTGTCTTATTCAATTTAACAACATGTTGAGGGGGAAAAGACAACTGAAACTCAACCTGTGTTGCTTCTGAGGTTTGTTTTGTGTTTTAAACACTAATGCCCAATTGTACTCGGAATCATTTTTCCTCGTAGAAGATTCCGTTTTGTTTTTTTCTAGAAATGAGGGATCAGTGACTTAAGTAGCTAAAACTGGTATGCACTTTTTGTGGTAAAGAGTCCGTCTTTTAAAACTCCTTTCCGTTCCTTAGAGCCTGACATTTTATGGAATAGACAACCCACGGCCAAGAAGACTTCACTAATGGAATCAGTTGGTACTCGGCGAATTAATCGGCACGTAGGCCTAATTATGTCGGTATTCTTGGTTGTGGCGCCACAAGGACTCGTATGTAGACACCGACATTTTGAGAAACAAAATAGTATACTGTCTCCATCTTCAGGGGTGAGGTCAGTGTGTCTCTCCGAAACGTCGGTTAGCATCCTACGAATCCACACGACGTCACAGCCCAGAAGAAGAACATCGACTCTTCGAAGCCGTGGGAACCTCAGATCTCAGAACACGTGATTATTCGGCGAATATACTAAAAAAAATACAAGCTGGCCTTTTGGCCTAAGGTACAGATTCGATCCCTGGATAGGGCATGCCTTTCCTTTACTTTCAGGGTATATGGCATATGTCATTTTCCAAGCCTTGAAACACCAAATGAAAGAGTCTGCGGTCGAGATCATTTTAAAGAGTATATGAAGGAAGTAGATTCTTCTCAAGTCGCAATTGCGTAGTTGATCGATTAGTTAATGCTCGTAACAAACGAAGGCGCTTGTGCGTACAGTGGGATAATGGAGCGATAGCTCGGTGCCATCCACGTGACGAGAAATTGCACTGATATTTGGGTTGAGCCAGCGTTTAAAACTAATTCAATGTTTGTGGTCGACTCATCCTCGAGCTGACGAGTTTAGTCACCACCGCAGTTGCGGAGCTGCCAAAGAATTTCACTCCGGTTTTCAAGTACAATTTGTGAACTTGTTGGCACTGAGCGACGTCTCCCTGTTTTGTGTGTGCGTGAACGATGTTACGACGCCCTGATCTCTACCCAAATATCTGATGCCGTGCTTTCGAGCCGACCAAAGATACCGCTTAATGTAGGATGTGACGCAACGAGATGGAAATCTCCTATCCTCTCTGGAATTTACTTAACTTCATAAGCTCACTTGACGTGGTCAGTAATGGACACAGAACAACTGAATTGATTAAGTTCACGCAACTCAGAATCTCTTCCCTTATCATTTGCTGTCTAAGAGATTAACGTGCAGAAAAATATAAATATGGGTGTGAAACTTGGTCTCTCATGTTAAGGGAAGACTTTTGGTGGTGTGTGAAACTTGGTCTCTCATGTTAAGGAAAGACTTTTGGTGGTGTGTGTGTGTGTCGGCAGGCCCTGAGGAGAATGTACGTAATGAAGGACTTAATCATTTGTAGGTCGCTTCGTCTGTAACAGCGACTTTGATGCCAGAAAGATTTCTCTGTTCGCCCGAGACACAGCGTCTTTAAAGCAGTCGCCCTGCCCACGAAAGTCTCTCACTTAGCGAGTAATTAAGCATTCACTGCAAGTAAGCGCTGTTCCCTCTGGGGGACCCCCCCCCCCCCACTCCCCGGGCAGTCGTGCCAGGAATACGACGCGGTACGGACTGAAAATGCGCGATTTCCCAAACTGTATATTTGTATAAGATAAACTGGCATAGAGCATCTTAATTAGGTCGTGCGGCGCGCGACTTAAGAAAATTGAATAAAAATGCAACTTACGCGACGATTTCTGCTTAATTTCGCAGGCGCGCATATGCAGTCTGTAAATTTTAACTGGCTTTCTTGTTTCTGCTGCACAGTGCAACATCAGGCAACGTGTACAGAGAAGAATAGTTCGTGTTCTGAGCCAGATGAATCCAGTCCACACGCTGTTTAAGGTCTGTTTTAATATTATCCTCCTGTCTACACGTATCTCGAGTAGGCATCATGATGTACTTTTCTCCTCAGGCCTTACCTCTGAACCCGCGGACACAAAGCGTTGCTTGTGTGGGTTCGTGTCTGCGTTGTGGACCTGCAGACTGTGACGTGCATCTTCGACTTCGCAATGAATCTGAAGGGGCCTTTCTCTATAATTCTTATGGAACGTCCTGTACTGCTCTGTCTAAGTATTTACTTACTACCTTCTCGACTGGCTTAACCAATCAAATGCTCTAAATCAAGTGGTGATCAAAGTCTCAAGTGAGGGCGATGCAAAGCAGGGGGGAGGGGGGAAATTTTATGGGGGGTTAACCTTGTTGCCTTGGAAACGATATCCTTCAGTTTTGTAGGGTCGGTCCCTTGCTGTTTCCAAACCACTGCCATTGGTTGAAAGAGGTTGTCATAGCAACGCCCCTTTAACTCAAGAATTTTTTATTATACTTTGTGCCTTGTTTCCGAAGACTTTCCTATTTTCAGTGTTGAGCGAAACCGTCGCCAGGGTGCAGCAATGTAGCAAACAGTCCTTTGGCAAATCTTTACATTGGAGGCCTATTTACAGTAATTATCTTCGGAGTTCAACAAATTTTGCAAAGAAGATCAGAAGAGGGAGAGAGGGAGAAAGATGAAGAATTTACTGTCCGTTGGCTGCATCAACTGCAGCTCGTGAGTTACTTTATAATTCTTTTTTTAAAACAAGGAATAAAATCCGATCAGTAATAAACGCATTTAAACGAGCACTGCCAAAACAGTTTTCTTTTGGTGAAAATGCATGGCTTATTCTTCTGCTCTGGAGTTTGTCAGTTCTTAAAGTCTCTTGTAATAATCTAAAATATTGCAGCGGAGAAAATTCTGTTCGAATCAAATTTAATTTTGCTCACAAATCATTTTTGCATGCGATTTTAGGCCATGGTGATTTCCTTATAACCTACGAGTAGAATCTGTGGGTCGTAAAATGGTTCTGTCGTACGTGGCTCGTGTTTATCGTTGGGCCATGTGGGGACGAAACACACGTGGGCGTTGTACTCGCAGGCCTCTGACATTCTGACGAATTTAAAATGTTTTCGTGTTTCGTGTGTGAGCTGGGCGACGAGAATTCACTCTTCGCCCGCGTGTACAGACCGATCATCATATCTGGTTGATACGGGGGGTAAAGCTGTCCGGAGCGTGAGGCTAACACGTCCTCAGTCTGCACTTCCACTCCCCCGTACGTGTTCATAGTTTGCTCTGTAAGTAAGTAAGAGCCAGCGAACAAATCTTAGTGTTAAGAAAATCCGATTGTGCATGCGAAATATAATTCTTCTGTTTCGGCTAGGAGCATTCCGAATTCGAAATTTGCATTGGACACGTGTGCACACTTTGTACTCTTGTACGAATGACTAAACCTGGTTCGTTGGCTGGCCCACGTAGTTAACAGGGATGTCTTGAAAACCCTGCTCCCTTCGTAAGGCTCCACATCTTCTGGCCCCTCAGCAGTCTTCGTTGTCCAGACGCCGGTAACCTTTGGCCGGCCCTTCCGAGGTTCACAGATACACGAGGTCGTTTTACAGAACAGTCAAACGCGACCTTCGTTCCAAAATCAGTTTGAGGGGCGTTGCCTCCGGTAAAGGAAATGGACGACACTCCTTTCGAATGCTTGCAGTTTCGAAAGACAGGCTCCCAGGATGGCGAACACGTAGATCGTCGTCTTCCGGGCGGCTACAGACGTTTCGGAGCAACGTGCCGCTTCCTTCTTCCGGTGTTCGTTCATTCTTTGTTCTGTCCCATCCCTCACCAGGGTGCGTTAAATCGATCTGTAGCTTTCAGTTGGAAAATCTAAAGGGACGTCTTAGGAGGATAATATTAAAAAGTAGTTATCTAAATCTGATGAAGCTTGTAGCAACGGAATAATTGATTTGAACGAAGTAGTTCCAGAATAAAACAGGAAGTGCTTAATGTTACGGAAGGAGGCCTAAATGTCGAAGGTTTTGTGAATTTTGTCGTTGGAGCAGCATCGTTGAACTATTATTACTCAGAACCAACTAACATAAATGGAACTGAGAAACATTAAAATTGTTATAACTCGTCATCTTGTTCAATGGTACCAACTCCACTTTTGAGGTAAACTGAAACTACCTTTGATTTTTCTACTTTCTAATGCAACATTAGAAAAACCTGTCCTTAAGAAGAGTCTTAATTTCTTCATAATTTTGCACTACGTCCCGCCTTCGTCGCTGTTTTAATGCTCGTCTAATAATTTTCAGTGCTGAATTTTATGCGTTCAGCGTCGTCATAAATTTCGCCGTGGAGTTCCATAAAAAACCCCGATCTTACCCTTCAGTGAGAAGTTCCTGGTTCGTTGTTTCACTGAAGGTCTTGAAACTGCATCCCGAGTAATATATTTCACGGCACTCATGAAAAACACATTCAGAATCATAAATATAGAGCAGTTTTTTATTGGTCACGGCTGCAGCCTGCATATGTGAATAAGTTAACCGCTTTACTGCAAGAGTGGCATCGACGCTGCCCGCCCTGTTAGCCTTTCTTATTTAATTTATTCTACGAGTTGTGTTGAGAAACGAATGGCGATGTTTCGCGGTTGTCCCAGGCACCTGGAACGCTATCTGTTGCCTTTCAGCGAAAAATTTAATGACGTCTTGAACCGTAGACGCAACGAGTTAACACGTATTACATTTTAGCATTGAAAGGTCGTCGGCTGATGCATCGCTTGACCGCTTGAGTCTGCATGCAAAACGCTCTAAATGTGACATCATGATTGCGTGAGAGCAGGCGAGATACTTGACTTTATAGACTGGAAGAATTTAGAATGGACAGCTCTCCTGAAATATGGTCACTCCATTAAATGTTATGTTCGTACGAACTTCGTTTAAAATCATTAGCACAACAATATTCATATTTGCCGATTATTTGTTTATTTAGCGACGCTTTATCCGTGCACCGGTGACGTGTGCTATTTCTCAATGATGCATTTGCACATCATCGTCGTGGTATACGCTGGGGGAAGATTGTTAGGTTAGTTTTACGCTGTAGGCCACCATCCGTAAATGCGCAAATTATACTACGTGTTGCCTTATTTGAGAGAAGAAGTGGTAACTTTCTTTAATTGTGCAGTGTTACGAGGTAAATAAATATTTGCGTGCGTGTTGGAGTAATCTTTACAGCGTAGCAACGATGGAACACGTTGTGTTTTATGTCCAATTATTTGGATTCGTCTTCGATTTATTTGTCATAAATCAGACCATAAAATGTTGACGTCATTGTCACTGTGTTCCAAACACTTTCACACCATTTTATTGCATTTTGTCCATACTTAAAATGCGAACAAGCGACAGAAAAGATGCAATTGAATAAAGTTATTTTAATAATAATCGGGTGGCTCACTCGCTCCTGGTGCAGCTCAGGTCAAATGTCGTAACGAAGTTGTTACTCGCGACAGAACGTATTAGTGGAGAAGAATACGTTTTGTGATGTCCGGACTCAGCGAGCGAATGACGAATCGTTCTCTCTTACCTGTCGATGAGTACATTGAGATTTAAGTAATTTCTACCAGCTTCGAAACAAGAAATTTTTATTTCAAGTTCACTGTTAAATTTACACTTTGCCATATTCCGGGCCAGAAATAAAAAAAATTCACTTATCGATGTACAATTTGCGTATCTGCTTTTGTGTCACAGAATATTTCGCTGCCGAGATTTTAAAATTTGAGATTTGTTAAACTGGTTCGTTGTCTGTTGTGATTTTTGTTGTAATGGGATATTTTCCTCTGAAGGTCATTACTTTAGTTTTTGTGCACGATATTCTGAAATTATGTATTTTGTATATGTGTTTGGAACGTACATGGAACGTCGTACTGTCACCCGATTACGACGTTCGGTATTTTGTGTGAGAGAATGAAATTTAGGGAGAGGACATTTCATCGGCTTATCAGAGAAGAGCCAGAACATCATCAAGGTACCCTTAAAAGGAGAACATGAGCAGGGCAAAGGGGAAATCTGGTCACCTGAAATATCCAGATTCAACCATCGGGTTATGCGTGTTTGGCTTTTTACCTCAGAATCATTGTTACAAACGTCTTTGAAATAAAAACACGCTTGCAATGTCACTGAGAACCTTCATTGGCCTTTGAATCATTTCGGGAACCTTTGAACGAAATTTAATTCTAGGTTTTATTACGGGTCAACGAACTACAGAATTATCCAGAATCTAACGTAGCTCTGAAAATCAGCAACAGAAAATGTTCCTACTGTTTGAGAGACGATCGGCTCATTATACCACCGTCTTGAAAAAGGTGAAGGAGGTCGCAGTGTTGCCACAACTTGAGATGTTGGCTGCAGCGGCAAGTTCAGTAAAGAAGAATGTTTATTGTTATCACCGCACAGTCGATGAACCACGTGAGAGTAACGGAATATGCAGAAATACGGGACAACCCGCGTTACTACGAGTCCTCGAGATGTTTCGAAATGTCAGCGCTCGCGAAACAAACTTCCGTCACCCGTAATGGGCGCGTTTTTATTTTCTTGTTGGGGCCCTCTTCAGCGTTCTTAATTTGTTAATAAAAACGAAAATGCGCCGGCTTTGTCATGTTTCTGAAACTTCAAATGCACCGACACGCAGTTAAGAGAAAACATTTCTGGAGCTTCTGTAGACATTATTTGTGTTAAATTTAGCGGCCTACGTTAGAATGTCTGCGGCCATTAGGAACCAATTAGAAACAAGCAGGAACGCGATGCTCATCATTTCCAGTGCCTTGTATTTGTTCACTTCATGCCAACAGAATATTCCGATTCTCATGTAAATTACGCGTGTCTTCGCATCCACTAAGTAAGACACCAATTATGTGTCTTGTCGGATGTTCGCCGACGTTTCAGAGGTGCTTGTTGCTTCCACCACCAGGCTCATTCGCAAGTTGTTTATTACTCGGTTTCAAGAAGCGGCCTCGCGCCTTCCTCCTCAAACAGCGCGATCACGGCTTTTTGAGTCCCGCTGGAGGCACGGGGTAAGTCTGCATCCGCGTCGTCCTGTCCCGTGTGGGTACAGGCGTTGCGACGGGTTGTTCCCTATAAAACGTCTGCGTGAATTTCAGAAATAATTGTGAATTTTAAGAAGCCGCAAGGTTTCGCCCGTAGGTAAGAAATTTTCCCTTCGTGTCATATCACAGTTTCGACAAACTTCTACTTGGGAGGTCTTCAAATGAGAAAACGCACAGAAGAACCTGCTGGTTGCCAACCGGGCTTGGCATGATGCAGGCCAGGAGTTCGCGTTGCAGCTTGCCTGTATTCCAAGATCAACACCAGCTAATTAAGCAGATGGCTTGTGATATTCTGTATTTCTCCTTGTGTTTTATTTGTTCTGTAACACTCAGTCGGGAGTAGAAAGTGGCGTTATCTGTTGAGTGCGCAGCCCAAAGAGCTTGAAAAGTGCTGCATTTTTAACTTGGAAATTCAAGATTTCCCACCACAAATGTTTGTCGAGCGAAATGCCCAGGTTGTCTGCGGTTGCTGAAACTTAGTTTCATTGTTAATTACTGGATTGTTATGAACTCAGAAAGCGTATTTTTGTACAGAGATTTCCACTCGAAGACATATCAAAATCTTGTTACAAATGCTGACCCGTACAGGCTGTAGGTAACAATTTAATGTGAGTTCATGATCCATCAATGAAGTGCC